TTTTCACATTGAGATCATATTGGCACTGATTAAACAAAAAAACCAAGTACTTTAGACACTGGAAATCAGAAACAAAAATAGAAACTGCTGGAGAAACTGGACAGGTGAGGGCTGTCAGCATCTGTGGAGAGAAAGCAGAGTTAATGTTTCAGGTGCAGTGACTCTTCAGAACCTAGTGGTTGTTTGGTTTGTGCTGTTGACAGCACTGCAAATGGAAGTCCTGTTGTAGGGTCATGGCTGATCTGATTTTAAGGCCAAGTGTACATTCCTGCATATTCCCAATAATGTTTCAACCCCTTGGCAATCAAGATTCTGCCTCCCTCTGCCTTAAAAGTGGTTAAATAATTGGTTTTAACCATACTTGTAGAGACAGCTGAGGAAACCTAGAAAATAGGAGCAGGAGTAGGCCATTCAGGCCGTTTGAGCCTGCTGCACCATTCACGGTGACCACGGCTGATCATCCAACTCAGTCCCCTGTTCCTGCTTTCTCCCCCATACTCTTTGATCTCTTTAGCCAAATAAACTACATCTAACTCTTTCTTGAAGACATTCAATGTTTTGGCCTCAACCGCATTCTGTGGCAGAGAATTCCACAGGCTCAACACTCTCTCTGGGTGAAGAAATTTCTCCCCATCTCAGACACAAATGGCCCACCACATATCCTTAAACTGTGACCTCTGATCTGGACTTCCTGGCCATTAGGAATACCATCCTGCATTATCCTGTGTAGTCCTATCAGAATTTAATAGATTTCTTCATTCTTCTAAATGCCAGTGAATATAGTGCTAACCGATCAGGTCTGTCTTCATATGTCATTCCTGCCACCTCAGGAATGGGTCTGGTAAACCTTCTTTGCACTCCCCCCATAGCTAGAACATCCTTCCTTAGATAAGGAGACCAAAACTACACACAATACTCCAGGTGTGGTCTCACCAAGGCCCTGTACAATTGCAATAAGATGCCCCTACTCTCTCTCTCGAATCTGCCGCGATGCACGCTGACTTATGTCACTTGCGGACTTCACCATCACCTACTGCACCCGCATGCTTACTTTCAGCGACTGGTGCACGAGGATACCCAGGCCTTGTTGTACCTCCCACTTTCCCAATCCATTGCCACTCAGACAAAAATCTGCCTTTTTGTTTTGGCTACCAAAGTGGATAACCTTGCATTTACTCACATGATACTTCATCTGCTATGCGTTTGTCCAATTGCTCAACTTGCCCAAATTACACTGAAGCATCCCTGCTTCCTTGTCACAGCTTAGCCTCCCACTGAGCTTCGGGTTGGCTATAACCTTGGAGATGCTGTATTTAGTTCCCTCATCTAAATCTTCAGTATATATTATGAATAGCTGGGGTCCAGACATTGAGCCCTTTGGTACCCCACTCATCACTGTCTGCCAGTGGAGTTGAACAGTTGCCTAGAAAATGTATCTCAACCAATGCAGAGAGTTTGCTGTTTCTGAAACCTGTCAAGAGTCAGCTGGCTGGAATACTGTGATTACTGAAGCAGATGTGGATATTAGACAGGCCAGCGGGGAGTTCAGAGGTCAGTCTTTCAGGTTCCTGAGAGGCTGTTGCAGGACTGAGCAAGAAACTAAGCAGCAATCATCACCCACTCATCTTCTGCGTTGACAGATGTTGAACCCATTTACTTTCAAATAATTTAATAAAAAGTAATTTGCTTGATAACCTGCCAGAAAAACTAGAGTAACATGACTCTTCAATCCATAAAGTAATTTTAGGATCAATTCACTCATCTGGCTATTTACTCAATAAGGTTCATCGAACTAACAAGGAAAACGTGTAGAAAAACAAAAATTGATAGAACTCTGAGCATGTAGTAACATTCAGCTCTTATTGGGAATAACCCATTTTTCTGAAGATAAATTTATTAGTGGTGAGTGCGAGATTGTGGTACGATTCCATTTGGTTTTCATTTAGATTTAACTTTCACTCTTGATGATCTGTTCTCTCCAATTCCCTCAGCAGATAACAAAGACAGAGACTGATTATGTAAACTTTTTGTCTGAATCACTGTCTTGTGCTGCTCTGACGCGTCCTTCCAGCTTTCATTATGTTATCTTTGGCTCAACAGGCAGGCCATTTGACTTCAGGAGACTTCAGTGGGGATCTTGTGGGAAGGGGGAAGTGGGACTAGAAGTCTCACTTGTGTGGTCAAGGCCCTCTTGTTCTAACGATAGTGTGTTCAGTGTGATCTGGTGCCAGTTGGCCGATGAGTGTCCAGCAGACAGGATGGACAGTCCTTCATTAGCTGCGAGAAGGAGGTTGTGGTGCAATGCATAAAGGACCACAATGATTGATTAGAACAGCCTTTGCCATGGCAACCCTGGAACCATCATGACAGATCTAAGGTCCACCCGAATCCAGAAAATAGTGATTCTCACCCCCCTCCCCCACCCACACCCAATCTCGGGTGTGTCCCCGCTGAGGGCCCTGTCAAGAGTCCATCCTTCTCAAAGGGGCTTCAAATCCAAGTCATTGGCTGCCCTGTTCCTTCCTAGACAATCAGGTTTTCTGTGGGCAAGCTGGGTGGTAGGGGCATATGGGTTGTACGGTAGGGTAATGGTAACGTTACAGTATTAGTCATCCAGAAGTCAGGCAGTGCTCCGGAGATTTAATTTAATTCCGCATGCAAAAAGACCGCTCGGTCCAACCAATCCATGCCAACCATGTTCCCAAACCAGACTAGTCCCACTTGCCTGCATTTGGCTCGTATCCCTCCAAACCATCCCTATTCATGAACTTATCCAGATGTCTTTTAAATGTTGTAACTATATCTGTATCCACCGCTTCCTCTGTCAGTTCATTCCACATACAAACAACTCTGTTTAAAAAAACAAAAGAGTTGCCTCTCATGTCTTTTTCAAATCTTTCTCCTCTCGCCTTAAAAATATGCCCCCTTGTTTTGAGCTCCCCCACCATAGGGAAAAGACCCTTGCTCTTCACCTTATCTATGTCCCTCATGATTTTATGAACCTCCCAGATCACCCCTCAACCTTCTCGCTCCGAGGCTAAAAAGCCCTAGTCTATCTTTATAACTCAAACCCTCCATCCCTGACAACATCCTGGTAAATCTTTTCTGTACCCTCTCCAGTTTGATAATATCCTTCCAATAATAGGGCAACCAGAACTGGACACAGTGCTACAGAAGAGGCCTCATCAACGTCCTGTGCAACTTCAGTATGATGTCCCAAGGAGTTGCAGTTTGTGGAGTTTAACTTCATTTAAATAAAATCTGGAATGAGAACTAATCTCAGCACTGGTGCTATTGGTCATGAGATCATCATTGACAGCAAAGGACTCGGGCACTCATTTCACGTGAAAATAATATATTATTTCATATGAAAAACATACAACACATGACAGAGCAGGTATATCAGTAGATTACATCCCTGAAACTTTGTGTAGTTTTGTGAAGCAGTCTAGTATTGTAGTGAGAACATGTAGAGGAGTGTGGAACTTAGCAAACCCAATGCATTCTTTAATAATTCCCTGGTTATTTAATGATGAACAGATGCTATTCTTTTGGTCTGGTATATGCACCTCACACTGTGATTTTTCTTATTTACTGAGAGATGATTACTTACAGATGGAATATTTCCGGGCCTTTGAATATTAAAACCCCAGCAGTGTGCTTGTTTTCTATTATTTTCAGTCCTATTTATCGTTTTGGTGATTCAAGAGTTCCATACTTCTGCAGACGTTGGCTTTTTTTGAACCCATAGATAACAAATTCTGCAAATTTTGTTTGAATTGACGATCCGTTCTGAAGTCATTAGCTGTAACTGTGTTTTCACACAAAATGGCTGTGCCCACCTGTTGCTGGAAATTGTGTGCAGCACACGCTGAAAAAATCTTGAATGACTGACTGTGCACAATTTCCCCACCCAGTCCTCCTACTTTCTAATGATCTAGGACTCTCACTTGTCTTGAAGGAAAAATATGACTCCTATGGAGTGTTAAATTATCAGAATACTAAGGCAAGTAAGTCAGCTGTTGCATCTTTCAGAAAATTACTCTTTTACTCTGGCATAATGGGATGGTGCATTGACAGGCAACTGGGTGTAAACAGGTGGTGCTGTGTTTCACATATTTTAACGCTTGTTTGATGTGACCATTGCTTCTGTAAATATAATTTGTTAATGAAGGAAAAAGGATTTTTAGGTTTTGACCCATTTGCTTATTTTTCTTCTCTCTCTCAACATTCAAACCTCAAGGTTAACAGTACCGAAAATAACTATAGAACTTAAAGGTGCGCAGTGCTTTGCACCATTCTGTGCACAAATTGTTTATCGAGGTTTCTGCATTAAAACAGTGGCTACACTTCAGAATTCCTCAATTGATGATAAAGTGTTCAGATGTCCAGAGAACGTGGAAGATACTGTACATGTGCAAGTCTGTCTGATCATCAATCCATCCTTCCTTCCAACCTTCCCTTTTCCCTGTTTCTTTCACTTCCTATTCCTTCCCTTCCCCATTCAAACTTTCTTCCTCACTTCCATTCTTTCTTAAGACTTGACCCTTGTACAGTTCTGGGTCTCCCCTTTCTTTGCTTCCTGGAGTGTATGCAATCTTTCTGCCAGTAGCATTGGGTCATTAGCAAGAGTCAGAAACTTGACAGTTTGGTGAGACACCATATTATAGGACTGCACAGGCAAAATGGTCTTCTAGTTGGTGTATCAGATGCAATCTTTTAGCATATAGTCGGGTATCATTATATGGAGATTAGGAATTCAGATTCAATTTTTTGGAGGCAGTTTAATCATGACAATGTATTCTTGATCTTATGCGTGACACATGTTCTGACAAAGCTGCAACAAGTTGTAATAAAGATCACTAATGTCAATCTCAACCTTTTTTGTAGTCGTATTGCAACGATAAGTTAGAGTGGCCGTGATTATATTATTCAGTGTAACATTGCGTAGCAGATTCATTGAATATGTTTTCGTTCCTCTTCTTTTATCTTTTCCACAGCACACACTGGAAGACCTACAAGTTGAGGAGGACAAAATAAACCATTTGACCAAATCCAACGGGAAACTACAAGCTCAGAGAGAAAGGGTGAGTGCATCACTGAAAGATATATAACGTGCATCCCTCTCTTCCTTCGACTTGCAATTAGAACCAATCGGTTTCTTAAATGAAAAGCCTGGCTTGAGTTGGCTGCGTAATTTGGCAGATCTATTTTGGACTCCTCTTCTCTGGGTACTATGTTATTGAACTTGTCAATCAGTACTTTTCGAATCTATTGCAAGTTTATTGTCAGTGGTGAGCGTGGATTTTTTTTTTTGTAAATGTACCAATACATATTAGATTACAATAAGATCCAAGATAAAAAATACAATATGGCGTAAGTAATTTGTATAGCAGGATATATGTTAATTACATGTCCTGGGGCAAATTAATTATGTGGTGAGGTATTGGCAAATTATGTCACAAAGCTTACATTAGTAATAAATTAAGGTTAATTATATAATGATATATTGGTTCATTCTGTAGCTAAGTAGAAATGAGTTATGTCATAAGATGCAGACTGTTTATGTAATTAGTTTGTGAAACGTGAATGGAGGGACCGTTAGACGCAGGAGCAGAAATAGGCCTTTTGGCCTATTGAGTCTGCTGTACCATTCAATGAGATCATTTGCTAACTTGACATTCCTCAACTCCACTTTCCTGACTATCTCCCCATAACTCCTGATTCACTTGCTGATTAAAAATCTCTATCTCAGCTATGAATGTCTCTTAATGACCCAGCCTTGACAGCCCTCTGCAGTAAAGAATTGCACATATTCCCTACTATCTGAGAGAAACAGCTCCTCCTCCTCTCAATTTTAAATATGTAACCCCTTATTTTGAGATCATGCCCTCGGGTCTTAGACTCTCTCTTTCTGCAATAAATCAAACTTTTATGTATCTGTGAAGTTGCCTGCCACTTTTCAAAATTCCAATGAGTGAAGGCCCAGCTTACTCAACCTCTCCATTCCCTTTTAAATAAAGGCCAGTGTTCCATTTGTCTGCTGAACTTGGATGCCAGTTTTTATTTTGCAATTTGTGCATGGGGTCTCAAATTTCTCTGTTCTGTGACATTCTGCAGTCTTTCTCTGTTTTAAATCATACATAGCTCCTCTGTTCTTCCTGCCAAAGTGCATTCCGTCTGTCAAGTTTTTGTCAACTTGTCTACATCCCTCTGCAGACACTTTGAGTCATCCTCACTGCTTATCTTATCTATTTTTATTATTCACAAACTTGGCAATAGGACATTCACTTTCGATATATATTGTAAATAACTGTGACCCCAGCACTGATCCCTGTGGCACTGCACTAATAATAGCTTGCCATTCCTGAAAGTGTCCCCCTTGTATAACTTCCAACACCATGGGCACTTATCTTATTAAGTAGCCTAATTTGTTTTACCTTATCAGACACCATCTGATAATCCAAATATATTAGACCCACGGCTCCCCCTTTATCTAGCCTCAGAATTCTAGTACATTTGTCAGGCATTTTTTTTCCCGTTCAAATAGCCATGCTGTCTCTAGATGCTCTGCTATTGCATCCTTTACAATAGACTGACATTTTCCCAATAGCAGATGTTAAACTAGGATCCTAGGATGCAAGTCATCAGGGCCAGGGGACATTAAGCCCCATTAGTTTATCCTTTTCTATACTTCTTTCAACTTCATACATTCCTTAACTTCCTTGGTTAGCCATGGTTGTTTTGTTCCATTCTTGGAATCTTTCCTCCTTACTGGGCTGTATTTTCACTCACAGTTATGAATTACCTCCTTAAATGTCTTCCACAGCATTCGTACTGTCATTCCTGTTAATCTATCTGCCCAGTTGACTTTTTAGCTAACTCCATCCACATTTCATTGTAATTCCCTTTATTTAAGTTAAACACAATTGTTTCTGACTCAAGTTTCTCACTCTTGAACTGGATATTAAATTCTATGATGTTATGGATGCTACTTCCTAGGGGATCTTTTACTCTGAGGTCATTAAATCTGCCCCAGAACCCATTACCAGATAAGTTAGCCTGTTCCTTGATTGGTTTCATGACACTAGGAAATGAATCCAAATGCATTCTATAAATTAGTTGACATAGCTATACTTTCCAATTTGATTAACCTAATAACATGAAGATTAAATTCACACATAATTGTTGCTCTATTCTTTTTATGTGCTACAATTATTTGTTGATTTATACCCTTTCCCACAGAGTAGCTTCTGTTTGGGAATCTGTATGTTACCAATGTCTTTTCTCCCATGCTCTTGTTTACCTCTGCCCAAATGAACTCTATATCATCTAAGCCTAGATCATCGCTCTCAACTGTCCTCATTTCATCTCTTAAGTGTTACCCCTCCATTTTTTTTTCTAACCCTCCTGTCTCTTTCAAATGTCAATTATCGAATGTTAAGTTCCAAATTTTGATCTCCTTGTAACCGTCTTTCCATAATGGCTATGAGGTTGTACTTGTTTACCTCACCTTTTGCGGCATCTCTTTACATTTTCCCAAATGCTTTGTGTACTAAGATAGAAAGTCTTTGAGTTTGTTTTCTTATTGAGTTTCCTGACATTTTTAATGGATCCTTGGTACAATAAGACTTTTTTCATGCATTCTGTCTCTTCCTTCTGTTTTCTGGTAACAATCAACCCCATTGTTAACCTGCAATCTACCTGCTCCTTTTCCTTGGATTTACCAACATGCAAGCAACTGAACACCACCTGCTCTCTCTCTCTTTCTCTCTCTCTCTCTACCCTCTTCCACCACCCCCACCCCAGCCAAGTATTCAGTTTAAAGCCCTGTCTAGAACACCAGTTAATTGATTCACCAGGTCTCTGGTCCCAGCATGATTCAGGTGGAACCCGAGCCATTGGAACAGCTCCCTCGTTCCCCAGCACTGGTGCCCGTGTCCCATGAATATGAAACCGTTTCTCCCATGCCAATGTTTGAACATTTATCTCTTTTCATCTTGTTGATCCTGTGCCAATTATGGCTCAGGTAGTAATCTGGAGATTACCTTTTTTTTGGTACTCCTTTTTAATTTATTCCCTAGCTGCTCACATTCCCTCAGCAGAACTTCTTTTCTCTTTCTGCTGATGGTCTTATGTGAACCGTGACATCTGGATCTTTCTCTTCTCACTCCATGTCCCCCCAGCTGAGGTATCCTGAACCCAGGCACCAGGGCAGGCAACACAGCCTTCAGGACTCTCAGTCCTGGTCCCTGAAAACGTGTCTACTCCACTGACTATACAGTCTCTGATTACAATTACATTTCTCTTTCCCCGCCTCTTGAATAGCATCCTGTGCCACAGTGCTGTTATCAGTTTGCACATCTTCCCTACAGCTCCCATTCTCATCCACACAGTGAGCAAGAATCTCAAACCTGTTAGGCACGCTCAAGAGCTGAGGCTCCTCCAGCACTGCCTCCAGCTATCTTGCCTGTAGTCACACCCTTCTGTCCCTGACTACTGACCAATTCGTGGTAGTTAATCGCAGGGGTGTGACGGTCCCAATGTATGTTTCTTTTTCTTTCAATTTGATACTATCCTTAACTTTCTTAGTTAACCATAGCTGGTTAATCTCCTTTGTAGAATCCTCCTTCCTCACTGCAATGTGTCTTTCCATTGAGCCATGACCTATTTCTTAAAGGTCCACCATTGTTCCTCATTGTGAAAGACCTTTCCCAGTCCACTGCAGCCAGCTCAACCCTCATTCCTTTGTAGTTACCCTTATTTAAGCTTAGTACAGTTGTTTCCCACTAAGTTCCTACCTTTGGAAGCTGACTTCTACCATATTATGGTCACTGTTTCCACGGGGATCTTTCTCTCTCTGACCTTATTTATTTACTAAACCGGCCTTGTTACACATCACCAGATCCAAAACAGTCTAAACCCTGATTGGAAACACAACAAATTGTTTTAGGAAACTGCCCAGAAAACACTCTATGAACTCTTCCTCATGGCTAACTCTACCAATCAGACTATCCCAAACTGCATGAGATTAATATACTGTCTTTGTTACATGTCTTTATTACCACCTGATTTGTTCTCTCTACCACTGTATAGCTACCTGTTTGAGGGCCTATAGATAACTCCTACCAGTGTCGTCTTTCCCTTTTTATTTCTTGACTCCACACACATGGATTTCAAAATTGTTCTGAGGAAGGGACACCAGACCCAAAATGTTAACTCTGGTTTTTCTTCACAGATGCTGCCAGACTTGCTGAGCTTTTCCAGCAACTTTTAGTTTTGTTGCATTTCTTGCTTTCATGCTTATTCCATTCCGTACTGACAAAGCTACCCCACTACCCTTTCCTGCCTTCCTATTCTTTTGAAATGCCGCAAAGCCTTGAATATTTAGTTCTCAGCTTTGATCTCCATGTAAATGTCTATAAGATCATACCCATTAACTGTTTATTCATTTATTTTGTTCCTAATAACACCCACATTTAAGTAAAGAGCCATTAATTTAGCACTTTTCTTTTTACATGTTTTTCCCCCTTTTGAATCTGTTTATTGTTTTTCTCTATATTCTTTGTGCTTTCCTCTCCCACTCTGGGTAGCATAATTCAAATAGCTACTGTGCAATGCTGCCATGTCCTCTTGCTTCGTAAGCCTACATTTTCCCCTCTGCCAAACAATTGCTTTAATTCATCTTGTTGTGGCCCAGTGTATTCAAAGACGCTTTGTTTCTATATTTGGCAGTACCAATATCACAGAGCAATGGCTGCAGTGTAACGTTTCATGACTTTAATGGAAGCAGCCATGAGTCACCTTCCTGTTTCTCCACTCTAAAGTGTAAAGTCTCGGTTGCTCAACTGAGGGTAAACACAGTGTGTGTGTTAATGAAACTCTTCACAGTGGCTGGTCTCAATGAGTCATGGTAGTTTTATGTTCACCTTCAGACCAATCGGGTGAGTCCTGGAGTTGGGTAAAGTTGGCAACACCCATATGAGTCTCGCTAAATTGAAAAGAAGTTTAAAAATGGGGGCAACAAATAGATAGCCATTTCGATACCATTGGCACCAGAATCTTCAGCCACTGAGGCTCCGTGCTG